AGCTACAATGTGGACAAAATATTTACAAATCACATAATCTGATAAAGAACTTGTATCCAGATTATATGAAGTACCCTCAAACTTAACAGAAAATGAAACCCCATAAAATATGAACAAAAAGATTTGAACAGACACTATACCAAAAAAGATAAACAATTGGTAAGTAACCATATGAAAAAATGCTCAGTGTCATTAATTCCTAAGGAAATGTAAATTAAAGTCAGAATGACCCCTGGCTAGTGTGGCTCAGTGGATTGAACACTGGCCTGTGAATTGAAAGGTCACTGGTTCAATTCCCAGTCAGGGCACATGCTGGGTTGCAGGCCAGGTCCCTGGTAACCTGAGAGAGGAAGCCAATAGGTGTTTCTCTTGCCCATTAATGTTTGTCTCCCTCTCTTTCTCCTTCCCTTCCCCTCTCTCTGAAAAGAAAGTCTTTTAAAAACAAAAATATTCTAAAAAATTAAAATTAAAAAAATTAAGTCACAATGAGGTAACATACCTATTAAAATGTGAGGCCACGCAGCAAGTGGAACTCTTGCTCACTAACTGTAGTACTAGAGAATGGTACCACCACTTTGGAAAAGTTTGGCAGTTTCTTAAGAAATCAAGAATGTGACTACCGTGACTACCCTATGACCCAGCCACTTCACTTGTAGGCATTAACCCAAGAAAAATGAAAGCATGTGTCCATATAAAAACCTGAACGCGAACATTCACGGCTTTATTTGTCCTAGCTCCGAATGAGCAAGAACGCAAATGCCCATCAACAGATGAATGGACAAACAAGTGGGGGCAGATCCATGCCTGGTCTGTCCTCCTCAGGAATCCAAGACGTATAGTTAACATCTTGGGAAACACATACAGGGCGGAGCAAAAGGAGGTTTATAGTTGTGAGTACACAAAACAGAGTTTATTCTTTTTTTTATTGATTTGAGAGAGACAGAGAGAGGAAATGTGAGAGGAATGGAGAGAGAGAGAAACATCACCTTATTGTTCCACCTATTCATTAACCAATGTGCCCTGTGTGTGCCCTGACAGGAGATCAAACCCACGATCTTGGCATATTGGGATGATCTAACCAACCGAGCTAGCTGGCCAGGGTCAGAGTTTATTCTTGTATTATTATTTATTAACTACGGAATTATTTTCAATATGATAAACTGTAAACCTATGTTTGCCCTGCCCTGTATGCCTGAACCTTAGGTTTGGTGGTCTAATAATTCACACTATGTATACTGTGAAACTACCTTAAATAGTTGCTATTTCTGCAAGAAGTGCATTTTTAAATTAACCACTATGACTAGGAATTATCGTTTTTAAACATTCACTGTCTGTCAAGCACCCTGCTGAACACTTTATATGCATGACCTGTTTATTCCTTGTAATAATCCAGCAAAGCTGTGTTGTTCCGATTTTACAGATGAGAAAACTCAGGGTCACAGAGGTTAAGTAACTTATCTGAGGTTATCCAGCTAAAAAAGGAGTGAAACGTAACCTTTCATCAACACCTTCCTGTACTGTTTACAAATTAAACCCAAACATTTTAGAAAGGCATTCAGAGCACTTGCCATGGCCTAAGCCACCCATCCACCCCCATCTCCCTCCCTACACTTCAGCCCATGTGTTGTTGCCTCATCAGCATGTCCAGCAATGTCCACCTCTGTGCCCTAACTCATGCCACTTCCCCCTCATGCCTATTAAATCCTACTCATCCTTCAATGCCCAGTTGAAATGCTATGGTCTGCCCACAAAGCTTTCTCTGATTCTCCCTACCTATCTAACCTGACACCTTTGTAGACAGGTGTTCTGCAACGTCATCTATTTCATTTGTCTCTTATTGCCATTTATAAATGCTCCAGGTCACACTTCCTCAAGGACAGGGACTAAAATATTTACCTTATGTCACTTACTTAACCTAGGACAAGGTACTTAACAGTCTCAATAGATTTTTGTTGAAAAGGCAGGGTCGGGGGGAGCCCTGGCCAGGTAGTTCAGTTAACTAGAGTGTTGTCCCAATATCCCAAGGTTGAAGGTTAATCCCTGGTCAGGGCGTATACAAGAAGCAACCAATGAATGCACAAATAAGTGGAACAACAAATTGATGTTTCTCTCTCTCTTTTTCTCTCTCCCTCCTTCCTTCCTTCCTTCTCTCCCCTGATAAAATCAATTTTTTTAAAAAGTACCATAAAAATCCTTTAAATGTGTAATTCTGCTTCTGAGAATTCATCCTAAGAAACTAATTCGAGAGAAACAAAAGTAAAACAGCATTAGTGGATGATTTAATCTGTTATTGTATATTAACTCTATATACTCTTATGTTAACCATGAGTGTATTTATGAAAGTTACATAGAAATATATGACAGAATAGTAAGTGGAAACAATATACAACAGAGCACATACTATAACTAGCATGCTCTATAATATGAACTAATTCACAATAAAATTTCATGAGTGCTTCACTGAGCTTACACTCCAATAGGGGATGACTGACAATAAGCAACACGACAAATTAGTAAATACATCGGATGGCTATACAGCAATAAGTGGGATGCAGCAAAGCAAGCAAGGGCAATAGGGTGGGGTTGCTATATGAATCAGATAGTCAGGGAAGGCTTTCCTAAGAATGGAGGTTTGAATAAAAATCTGGAGATTATACTTATTTTAAAAAGGGGGGGTGGTGGTGGAATTAAAGGTCATGCTAAGCTTATAGAATTAGGCAAGTTCTCTTTTATATTTATGTAAAAATTTTATTTCTTAACATTACTACTAAGATCCTCGGCTAACCCTCTGCTATAAATCCCATTAAAATGTACACTTTGGTGTCCCATTTCCAACACAACTTCTCCAAACTTATTTGTCACTATTTACCAACCTTCCAATTAAACCAAGAGAATATACCAAGTTTTCTTACATCTCATGAATATTTACGGAATTCATATCACTTGAAATGTCCACCTTCCACATGTGCAAATCCTATTCTTTCTTCAAATCTCAATGGCCCTAAAAAACCTTCAAAGAATTAGTTACCTAGATAATCAATTCCAGTTCTCTTTGCCAAAAGACCTTCTCACTATTGGTAGGGAGACAGACAAGTTTCAGACAAGCAGTAATTTGCTGGGGCAGGTAGGAAGGAGGTGAATGAAGTGTGAGACCACTAAGGAGAGAGCAGTTAGTTCTGCTCTAGATCGGGTAAGAGACCTAGAAAGCTTCAAAGTGGGTAGCTTGGTTAGAAGTCATGGAAGGTACACGGAGGATATTATACAAAGAGTGAACAGTCTGAGCAAAGATGAAGAGAGCATGAAAATGAAAATGAAAATGCATGGCGCTTTGAGGGCATGATGTGTTAGGAGGGATTTCAAATGCAATAAAACTAGAAAGGGGCATCTGGAAGTATATTGAGAAGAGCCTTCAATGACACAGCCTAAATTCCAGTGGTGGTGAAGGTAACAGTGAGTCAATGAAGGCTTTAACCAGAGTTATGCACTAACTTCTATATTTTAGTGGGTAACTTAGGGTTCTAAAGAAAGGCTGGACTGAAAAGAGAAGGTACAGCAGACCAGTTAATAAATGGCAGGTATTCCAAAAATGTTTTTTAATTGGATAAGACTATCACAGAGGAGAGAGAATTCTTTCAGCCTCCACTGTATCTAAAGGTATCAGCACATAGAGGGTGCTTAATTGTTCTCCAGTTGCTTTGAACATAGGAGCTTTCTGCTTTCAAGATCATAAAAGTGAGTAAAGCAGAAAGGCGAAGAAGAAACGTGGCTCTGGTGTCAGACTGTCTGGGCTGAAGACCAAGTCTGACAATGGCTGGTTGTGTGATCTGGAGCAAACTACTTAACTTCTTTGTGCGTTAGTTTTCCAATCTATCAAATATATCATGTACCCCTCACAGGACTGCAGAGGGCTAAAAATGAGATGATACCTACACAGTGCCTGGCACACAGCAATCCTCAATAAATATTCTTATGTACTGTGTTTGGTATTCAGGATTGTACACTCAGTACTGTGTCAAATCATTTATTAAATCCCCAATCACATTTTTCTAAACTTTCTATAAAAGCTTTTAAAACTTTCCTCACATTTATATAGGTTACTTATACTCAGGCCATATCGAAAATAACTTCTTTTTGAAGGCAATGCAAATCAGAAACGGAAGAGCATGTTCTTAACAGCTTTTGAAAAGCAGTCTACACAGAAGTCACTTTGACAGCTCTTAAGAGCGATAGTCATTGTGTAACCTTAATGTGTAACTCAAACTTACAGCCTGAAGTAAAAGTATAGGGTATCAGTAATGGAGCAGGGGGCCATAAAGATACTGGACACGGGTGACACGCTCTAATAAGACATTTTTTTTTATTATTATTTAAATCTTCCCAAGTAAGAAGCTCTAGGAAGTACTATTGCTTAAAAAAAAAAATGTGGTGACATTAACAGTTAAGAAAACTCTGCCAAGCGATCTGCCACACGAGGAAATGCACGCTAGGGGTCGGCGACGGGGAAAGCAGGTTTGGGACACTGGCGGGACAGCTCCGGGATGGCTGGAGCCTGGCGTTTCTTCAACTGCAGGAGCAGCAGCGGCGCCCAGGACTGTCAGGCCGAAGCGGCCTCCCCCGCGGGTCGGCCCCGCATTCCTGCCCGGGTCTATACTTAACCTCCGGCCCGCGCCCCGCAGCCGCCGCGCCACGCCGCGCACCGTATTAGGCAATGACCGGTGAACTGGGCCCTATCCCCGCCCCGCTCCGCTCCATTCAACTCGGCGGCGGCGCCCCTCCCCCACGGCCTCTGCCCGCGTCTCGTGAGCTGTGTGACCACCCTGCTTCCCGGCCCGCACGCACCTCCACGGGCCCCACCCGCGCGCCCCCCGGCCCGCACGCACCTCCACGAGCCCCACCCGCGCGCCCCCCGGCACCCAGCCAGCGCTCCAGCCGCGCAGTATCGGGGAACAGCACCGTGGGGAGGGCCTGAGGCAGAGTAGGGACCCGTGGGGCGCACGTACCCCGCGGTCATGGCAATGTTGTAGAAGGTGAGCCAGGCGGTGGCTGCCCAGCCTAGGCGCCTTCTCTTGCTGGGGGCCTCCCTCTCCTCGCCCGCCTCCGAGGCGCCGCCGTTGGTGCCGTCCTCCTCGCTGGACGCCATGGTGGCCGTGCAGCCGGGGTAGGTGGCCGCGAGGGGAAGGAGAGTGGGCGGGGACCCTGCAGAGCTCGCAGCTAAAGCGCCGCTGTCCGCTGCCGCCGCCTCAGTCAGGCGCCCCCTGTGCCGCCGCGCACAGGGGGCTCGGCGCCGCCAGCCTAGCGGCTCGCGCGGGGAGGAGCGGGCGCCCCCAACCGCCGCCCCGCCTGCCCCGCCCCTTGCCCGGGAGCGCGCTTGAGGCGGAGACCGCCTGCTGGTCCCGGATTGCCGGAGCTCCTGGTCTCCGAGTCCCTGGGTACGGTTTGGAAACTCCCACGAAAAATCTGTCTACCTCGCTGGCTAAGGGAACCTCATCCCAGAAAATGCCCCAAAAGTCGTGTGCCTTGCAACATGCGCCTTGCTAATGCATTGCGTCAGGACAGACAGAACTCACCTGGGTTTAGAGAAGCCCTGCCCCACCCAACTTTTCATCAAGTTGTTTCTGGATACCGAGACAAGTACTGAGATCTTCCCATCAAAGACTCATTCTTAAGATATTTTGGGGAAGAAGTGTCTACTTCACCCCGTTTCACTTTGTGGGACATGAATGGTGGGAATACAACAGGATTGGCGGCCCACTTTGTGGATTTCATGGAGCCAGGTATTCTAGGGGCATAATTTCAATGCAGTGCAGAATGGTGGATGTTAGAGGGAAGCTGGAGGAAAAGAGATGGTGGCAAGATGCCAAAGGAGAAAAGTTTGAATGGATATAAGCAATCCACAGATGTAGGACTAACAAGAATCCTTTCCCATGGCGTGGGGGGGCTCCGTACACAAGGAACACCCCTCCCCCCCCATGGATGAGAATAAGTCTACCAAGGCATGATCTGCTTGGGGAGGAAAGGTGGCCGATCTCTCCAAGGAGAATGAGCCTTTTCCTCAATGGGTTTGTATTAGGTTCATTTTGCATGGGAATACAGGTAAAGCTCAGTAATCATTGTTAGGCAGTAAGGATCAAACAATAGATAACATACAAAGAACTAAGGCTTATTCTGAGTCGGGGTCTGTTAGCTAAAGGGCTACAAAACTGTAGGAAACAAAGTCATTTTCAGCTCGGACCCTCATCATTTAATTGAGAGCATTCCTAGCAAAGCAGGTTCACAGGATTTTATGTATTCTTTCTTAGGCCTGATCACCTGGGGAACCACCGTTTCCAGCACAGGTTGCTCCACCCTCTGTCATTGTTTCAGACTTAAATCAAGCAGGGGGAGTAAGGCAGCCAAGAGATTAGGAGACTTCTCTCAGAGAGAATGAGGACTCAGCCAAGGGGCGAGGGTCCATCATCCCCTTTTGCCATAGCCCCCAAAGCCCTTCCTTGGGACCTCCCCATGATCGTGCCTGTCTGAGGTCCTTCCTCTGTCATTCCATGAGGAATCTTACCCCACACTGGCTAACTGATCAAGCACTGGGAGCCAGGCAGGGTGAAGAAAAAGGAGCAGAGACAGCACCCCTGCCAGGGAGATAAACTGTCTCCTTAGTGGCTTATGTTCGGACGGTCAATCACTCAGCCTTAGCCTTGTAGGGGTTAAAGCTTCTGAAACCAAGCAAGGTGGTTCCCAATACCACAGGAAAGATAGCATCCCGCTTTTCTCTATGCTATCTCTTTCCCTTTTTTAAAAATCTTCCTCCAAATATGTAAGCTTTCTCCTAATAGCTCTTGCCTATTTCCCCTTAAAGAACACAGTTAAGAGAGCAGGCTCTGGAGTCACAGTACTGAAATTCAAACTGCAAATTTCTGGCTCCACCAGTCTTATTCACTGTATGAACATGAGTTTCCTCAATGGCAAGAATTCTAAAACATCAGGAGATTATTGTGAGATTTAAGTGAAAGCATCCATGTAAACCACTCACAGGCCTGAAACACCTTGAGTCACCCCAAATCAGCATGTTAGCACTCTTCTGGCGATTCTCAAACCCCAGTGCAAGAAATTCTGCACAGGCCAACAGAAGGCATCAGCTTGTTAGGCCTTACTCTCCTGGAACATAAGCCCAGCCCCAGTCAAGGGATGACCACATGAAAACTACAGACACCCAGGTCTGAGAGCTCCTGGGGATATGGGCCATCCTCATGCGTTAGAGAGGGTTGGGGAGGGCACCAAAGAGAGAAAACAACCTGGCCCACGTGGCTGCAATCCAGGCACTTGGCCCATCACCCAGACAGCACTGGCAGCCTGCACCAGAAAGTTTAGATAATTTTGAGGAAGACATTCCAATAGGGGAAAGGGGAAGGGAGGAAAGTGGGAAGGGGAATAGGGAGTTTAAGGGACGCCTGGGGAAGAAATAATGGCTCAAAAATTGTTCACATTTGATGAACACTATGAACAACTATTTTTAAAAGGCATTTAAATTGAGAAGAAAGAAGTCAAACTATTTGCCATTCACAATGCTGTGTAATCAGAAAATCCTAAGAGATCTAAAAAAAAGTTACTGGAACTGGTTGCAGTATACAAGGTCAATGTAACAAAAATCAATCATTTTCTACATACTGGAAAAGAACAACTGAAAATTGAAATTCAAAATAAAACTATCTAATGCACATCAGCATCCTAAAACATGAAATGTATAGGAATGAATTTAAGAAAGCATGTACAAGACCTGTCCAGTGAATCCTATAAATCAGTGCCAAAGAGAAATTGAAGACCTAAATAAATAACTACTCCAATGTTCATGAATTAGAGCACCCTGGATTGTTAAAATTGTCAGTTATCCCCAAGTCCCAGGAGAAAAGTTTTTAATTTGACCAGGTGTCTCAAATTTATATGGAAATGCATAGGAGGAACAAGGTTGGAGCACATTGCATACCTATTTCCAAATCTTAGTATAAAACCAGTTAATAGAATAGTATGATAGGTAGGCATAAGGATAGACATATAGATCAACGAAACAAAATACAGTCCAGACCCATATGTCAAGTGACTTTCAACAGATGTCAAGGAAAGTGTTTTCAACAAATATTGCTGAAACAACTGGATATCCACATGGGGGGAAAGTATGATATTCTTAACTTCTGCCACATGCAAGTATCAATTTGATATGAATCATAGATCTTATCCTAAAAGCTAGAACTATATAATTCTAGAAAAAATGCAATTTTTGTGACCTTGAGGAAGGCAGAGATTTCTTACATGTAATGACAAAAAAGGCATCAATCAGTAAAGACAGATGTAACTTCATCAAAATGTAAAACTTCTGTTATTCCAAAGACACCATTTAAAAAGAGAAAATATTCACTATGTATCTGACAAAAAACTCATATCCAGAATACCATATATATATAAAGAATCCTTACAACTCAATAATACAACAACCCAATTTTTTAAATGAGCAAGAGATTTGAATATACACTTCACAAAGAAGATATAGAAATAAAAATAGCACATGCAAAGATGCTCAGTAGTATTAGTCATTGAAGAAACACAAATTAAATGCACAATGAGATACCACTACATCAAACATTTTTAATTTTATGAATTTTAAATATGTTTTTTGATCTTTAAGTGATTTTTACTGTATTTTTCCATTACCATTTGGTCCCCTTATACCCTCGTCCACCTTCTGAAGACACCACACTATTGTCCATGTACATGAGTCCTTTCACCTTTTTGCTCAATCCCTCCACCCCTACTCTCCCTCCCCACACCTTTTATCCTGCTCTCTATCTATGAGTCTGTCTCTATTCTGCTTGTTAGCTCAGTTTATTCTTTAGATTCCACATATGAGTGATATCATATGGTATGTGTCTTTCTCTGACTGGTTTATTTCACTTAGCATACTGTTTTCCACGTCCATCTGTACTGTTGCAAAGGGTACAACTTTCTTCTTTTTCTCTGGCCAAGTAGTACTCCATTATGTAAATGTTCCATAGTTGCGGCTACTTCATCTACTGATGGACACTTGGGTTGCTTCCATAGCTTGGTAATGGTAAATAATGCAAAAATGAACATATGGGTGCTCACATTCTTTCAAATTAGTATTTTGGGTCCCTTGAGATATATTCCCAGAAGTGGGGTCACTGAGTCAAAAGGCAGATTCAATTTTAACTTTTTGAGGTACCTCCACACTGCTTTGCAGTTTTCCCAGGACAGTTTTCAACCCCAGTTTTCATATTTTTGCATCAAAGAACTCTGCAGGGCAAAGGAGGAAGCTTTTTTTTCATGTTGAAAACCTGAAACCCATTTGGCGAAAAACAACCACCCCTCAAGGATACCGACTTCTCTCTTCCCTGCAGTGTGAGAATGGCTCCTTTACCTTTCCAAGGCTAGTTTTCCGAGCCCTCCTTTTCTCTTTTAGTCTCAAACAACTGCAGAGGGCACAGGGGATGGCTATTTTTCATATTAAAGGCCTGAAAGACATTTGGCAAAAATAAACACCCGGCAAGGCTCCAGAGTTTTGTCTTAAGTCCAGTGTCAGAAAGCCCACTTTACTTTTTCATGCTGGTTTTTAGGCCCCGTTTTTTTAATTTTACCCTCAAAGAACTTAATCGAGGCACTGGAGAAGGCTATTCCCCTTCCGACCCACCAGAAATCCACTAGGCAAAAAAAACGCCCGGCGCGGCTCCTGAGGTTTTTCCTAACTGCTGAGTGACCAGGGCTCCTTTCCATTTTCCAGTCTACTTTGCAAGCCCAGTTTTCACACTGCAGTCTCTCCAAACCTAACGGGGGTGGCGGGGGACTTCTGCCAAGTTGGAGGCATAGGTGGATTTGCCGGGCCTTCTCACACAACCAAGTTTACAGACAACTAGATATTGGCAACAGAAAACACAGCCAGAACACAGAAATTTGAGCTTTTCGGAATTGTCTTCACAAGGAATTCTTCAGCCTGACCCGTAAGGGGTGAAAGCGGCAGGTGGCAGAGCGGGGTAGCACAGGACAACTGGGTCAGAGGAGCTGAGGTGCGCTGAATCCGGGCCCAGGGTGGGACCTAGTGAGCGACCCAGCGAGCGACCAAGCAAGCCACCGCGGGCAAACAGCCGGGGAGCGGGGCTGCGGGTTGACTGTGGTCGCGCCTCTGTGCACGGATAGACAAGCGAGGGGGTGGGCGATTGGACTGGGACGGAGCGGGTCCCCGCAGCCAGCGGCAGGGAGGGCGCCGCCATTTCCCTGCTCTGACCCCACCTCCACAGACAGCCTCATGACCCAGCGACTCTGAAAGGCCCGGCCCTGGTGA